TTTACGAGTATTCCCAACCGATTCTGGGTTTTTTGGACCTACTCTTTTAAACAAAGAAATAAGTAGGTACTCGAGCATATCTTTTCTGGGCTACTCATAACAACTGCATGGAAAGATAGGTGACCTTTGTTAGGTTCATACTCGTCCTGTAGAATTTTTGAAAATGTATTCGAAAGAAGAGTAGTTCTTCGTTAGTCGGTGAAGTTGAGATATTGGTCTAAAATTTGAAAGGTTCACTTTTATCTACAATGTAAAAATTTGAAAATTTAATTATGGTTTCAGCAGTTTCATTTACAGGTGGAAATACATTTTTTTTATCTTTACTAGATTTTCGTATGTCATTGTCTCAAAACATAAAAAAATATAATTCTTTTCGAATTTTTTTAAACACCCGAACGCTGCACAATATTTGTTAATTTTTATTGTCCATTTTTAAATAATATTTGCAACCTCGATCATAGAATGACTGTGCTATTAGGTAGGTAGGTATCTAAAGCGCGCGCCAGCGTCCCGTTCGCTGTAGATAAATAAGGGATGTACTGCGCGGAGTGATCCAGGCCTGCTGGTAGTCTGTTGACAATTTTCTGGCAAAGTTTGAAAAGAACCCCAGTGCATCTTCTTTGAACTTCTAATATTTTTTTCGCAAGGAGTTTTACTATTTGGGCCAACGATTTAAAAGATGACCCAAAATCAATATCTTCCTGACTAAGCAATGAGTTTTCAAATTCGGCATTTGCTTTGGCGAGTGCTGATTTGACCGACTCGATATCTTGAGTAAATTGCTGTTGATCGTAGGCATAAGCAGCTCTTAAAGAATGAAAGAAAGAAAACATTTATTTTGGTTCCAAGTCCAACATAAAAAATACACACTTTAATAAGTAAAAGGTAGTTAGGTTCTAACTCAGCATGTGTCATGCTCTAAGGTAGTAAAGCCCAGAACATGACGCTGTTATTCTGCGGAAGCCATTTTTGGAGAGAGCGGCAGAAATACACGCCTTAAAATTAAATCATTAAAATAACACAAATGTGACAACACACAAAAAAAAAAACAAATCAAAGAGAAAACAAAATAAAAATACAATAAAAAAAACTAATACTACACTATACTTGTTAGCTTCAGAAATGAAAATGTGCTTAGCTTATACAAAACTGTATTTCAGATCATAAAGCTAGGTAACAGAATTATATCGAAAAACAAGATGGCTAACACCGTTGCTAGGCTGCGGTCCATAGACCATGGCCTAGCATCGGTGTTACCAGATCTGTCGCCAACAATACTAATGCCCAACATTGTACCGTCCTAGCCATGACAGTGTCAGGAGGGCGTCACCATCCGGATTATTACTACTAAAGAGGCTGGTTCTAACACTCGCCTGGCCGTTGTCGTTGCAGAGATCATCATAAATTTTCGTTATATTGGCATTGTTAGCTTGAAACAAAATATTATTATTCAAATCAGTGACACTGACAACCTTTAACAGCTGTGAAAGAAAGACCAAATAAAGCAAATGTGTGTCATCATTGTCGAGCTTGATAACATTTTTCACCTGAAGCTGCAATGTTGTTAAAGTTTAGTTTTAATGCTTCCCACTGTTTCTTTAATATTCCTATCCACAGCTGCATGAAATGCTAACCATCGAGTAACGGATTGTTGAGTCAGTTTTGGTTGCTTATTGTTGTTGTTGAGTGACTGATATAAACATTGGTAGGGTTTTAATCTTAATGGGCGATGCGCAAACCAGTTTCGAGTTTCCCGCAGTAAGTACTCGAGAGAAGTTGGTAATTCGTCCCATGCTTTGGCGGCACACAAACTCAAGCTGTGGCAGATACAATTTTGAGTAACTGAACATGAGGATAATCAGCTTTTACTCGTAGATGGGTGTAAAGAGAATTCCGGTTTCCAGTTATTGTGATTAAATTTAAATTTAATAAAATGACGTAGGTCTGGCATTCACTAGCTCTTAGTCTAGATGGAAAGATGTGAATAGATCTTTTTGTTGGTAATAGTCCAGTGGTGATAACAGTAGTCCTTTTAAATTCTAGTAGTATCGTCCTATTTTGCTTCTACATCCTCTTAGTTGGTTTAATGCAAAACCAGAACATTTTAAACAGTAGTATTTTTAAGCGAATGATATCTAATTTACTAATAGAAAGATGTTTATCTAAATGACTCCACGGGTCACTTGTTCGTTAATGTTCCCGTTGCCAATCACTTAGTATGCACGGCTACACACATGACCGAATTCATCTCGTTCGAATTCAGGCTCAAGGGAAATAATCACTACCACCCCGTTACGACGTACTTAATATGCATGATCCAATACAATGTATTGGACAAGCCAGAATATCATGTTGGATTTAATTGTTCAGTTCCATGTTAGTACGATAGTAATTTTAACATTAAAAAAGGGGTTATCCTCGGAACTCGTTGTATCGAAATTTGGTTTACGGGAGGGATGATCAGGATCATATTCTTTATTTGCTATTTAGTAACGTACAGTCTACGAATAGTTACAAGATGCATGCATTACAATTAGGTGCCGCGAGTAACCTTACTCTTGCAGAATAAAAATGAGAAAATAAATATTATAAAAAATAATGATCTACTGCTGCTTTCAGTTTGATCTGTTTTGGCCATTACTTCGGTATTTAAGTTAACAATTAGCAGCAGTTGATGGAATATAATTTCTTTAAGGATCAAGACTTTTCTTGGCGGAATAATAACATACAATTCTTTATAAAAACCTAATTTTTGTGACCTACTTTCCTTCTCTGTTAGTCTGTCCATAGTCATTTCGTAGTCGTAGGCAAACATAAATGAATAATTAAATTAAAAATAGTAGTAATAGTAGTAGTAGTGGCTACTTTATACACGTTTGTCTGGTCAAAACATAGTGTCCTTAAAATATGTAGGTTAGAGGCAATCCCGTAATCCCGGGATAAATAAATAACCCCGGGATTATGAACATGAAATAAAAATAATAGTTTTACATAAAAATCTACTTTTTATTGAAGAAAATAGCTGAGCATAGCTTGCATTGTGCTGTATTGTTACTCTTTTTCAGTTATAAAGTAGCTCTACATATTGAAGTTGCTGCTCCATCTTTCTTATGTTTTCCGTAAAAACTATCTTTGGAGTGTATATAGCGATATTGTTTAAAATATCGCCCGGAAATATCCCGGGCTCGAATCCTCTAGTGTGGGCACAATTAGATCTCCATTATGAAGATCTAATTGTTTTTTATTGTTCTCGTCTTTCATCATTGCAAGATTCATTGGATTGGTATTACGGTTGGGTATAGCGATGTAATACTTGTTTCCATAAAAGTTTGTGCTGTATCATCTCCAACTGATGTAAATGTTTTAGGAGAAGAAGAATTATTGGTGTCACAATAGTTATCGTTGATGTAACTATATCTTTCTTGTATTTTTTTTTCAAAGGGTTCAAGTAAATAGGTTGTGATCCTGTGGTTCTTATTACCTGCCCTGTAGAAACAAAAATAGGATATAAAATTTAAAAAAAACTAATTTACAAACTTAATAACTAAAATCTATATACAAAAATAGATGAGTAATACAATATTTACAAAAAAGGTAAATAAAAGTTACCTAACTTACAAAGTATCCCCAGATCCGTCAGTGAGGTTAGCGGTGCGCCGAAGACTGGTACCGTTTCCGCGTTGGATCGCTAGGCTAAGACGCTGACCAAGGTGGAACCCGGCCTTCTGATCACCGGTAACCTCGATGATGCGGTGGAAAGCTCAGTGAATAGCTTTTTGGCCTTCGAGCCCCAAGGCCCCAGCGTTTCCACGCCGAAAGGTACAAAACGGTAGCAGCTGTCTAAAGCTTTTTTTCAAAGATTACGCTGAAGCAGCCGCAGCGCCTGCAATTTAAATTTTAATATAGTTGTTAGTCATGACATGGAAATGGAACATAGAAAGCTAAAAGGCATTCAATAAAAAAGAATCTGTCATTTATAGAACCAGTGAAAAGAGATGATTTATATCACTTGTGTCATTGCCACACTTTCACAATTCAGTATTTACAATGTGTAATCTAAAAAGATTGTAGGAATAAAGGCATGGCCAATTCTCATGCGAAGGAACCTTTCCCAATATCATCTTTGAAAATTATGGTTTTGTTGGGATGGCCGATTTGTATGTTCTTATATCCTTTTTAATTGAATTACTGTGTGCTCAACCTAATCCCAGGATTCACCCAGGTAAAGTCATAGGAAGGAACATAAGATCAAGGCAATAATTTTTGTAATGAATCAGATCACCTTAAAACAAGAATAATAGGAAATACATGCAAAGATTTTAAAATTGTGTATTGTTGTGGAATTTCTTTATGCACCATCCATTAAATAAAAATATCAGATCTTTCTGACACCGCCATTTGTTTTCTACACCGAAAATCTATGATGCAATAAACATTTATGACTATGACTATTTGCTGATGATTCATCATTACTTTACAGGTAGTGATATTCTCGTTTTCTTACAATGCACTTTTTATTGAAATTAAAGATGGTCTAGTACTGATTTCATTTCAATGTTCAACTGATTCTTCAAAAATATGTTGCACAGACTCTGACTGAAGATGTGACAACTTTTTTATAAGAATAAAATGCTATTCAATGTTTAAATTGATAGGTGCTCTTATGGGACTATGCCAGGTAATACTTGGGCGGGTGCTCTAAGTGGACTACGTCATCAAGGAGTTTACATACATTGAGATTCATTATTTATAGACTTATTTGAAAATTATAAATAACTTGAATAAATCTTATGTCAGTGCCACCTAAGAAATCTCGCGAATATAAAAATATGTAATGTGAGTAAGTGTACCAAAAGCCAAGCCAGGTAGTACCTGAAACATGATGTACCTACTTGGAATCTGACATCCATTTCAAAAATTATATTTTTTTATTTCTGTGGTCAATCGAAAAAATCTAAAAGGATTAAAACAAAATGTTAATGCTGCAATGTGCCGAAGTAATATTTGCGGTATGAAAATATGATTGTTTGCAGCGTTCCGTTGATTTCCTTTCGCATGTGGAATTTATTGTGATCATAACAGAGGAATAATTGAAGACAATACAACGTATTTAGTCAGTATCTAACCGAGCCTGGTTTCGCGAGGTGCTTGACGAAGGCTTTATTTATTCACGATGGATCCAAAGTTTACGTTTATATTATTAATTATGACGGTACCCCTAGCGAAGGTAATTTGACCTTTATCTATTTATAACTAATTTTGCAAAAGGCATGTTATGTTAACATTACCTAAGCACTATAAGTAGCTTGAAAAGAAAACACTATTTATCACACTTAATGTGCAATAGAACTTAATTTGCCTCTTATAATGCAGTTTTCTGTGTAATATCCGCTCTAGTTCCCTAGTAAAAGACTTACTTATCGTTGCTTTGAATAGAGATAAAACGACGGGGTTCCTTTGATACTGAATTAATTACTGTGTAAGAACGTTGCTAATTGGAAATCAGCATCTAAACGTAACATTTGTTATTGGCAAGGCTTTAAACTTGCAAATGTTAATTGAAATATGTATAATTTATCTGTGCCGTAATTATTGATGTATTTTGTAATGTTTTAGGGTGCTGTGCCGGGAACATTCTTTTGGAAACCTCGACTGGGCCTCGATTTGGCTATACCAACTACAGGTTAATCAAATAGAACTTAATCTTAACTAGCGGCCGCCCGCGACTTCGTACGCGTGGATACCGTTTTACCCCCTTCATTTATCTTACGCGGTTTAGATTTTTTCATACAAATGTTTTTTCCCACTAACTCCCGTTCCCGTGGGAATTTTGCAATATCCTGTTGGAACTAAGCTTTAAGTTTACTATGATACCTGCATGCCAAATTTCAAGCGTCTAACTTAAGCGGTTTAGATTTTACATACAAAAGGATTTTCCCGCTAATTCCCGTTCCCGTGGGAATTCCTAAGTATACTATAACCTGCCCAAAAGTATGAAGAATAATTGTACCAAGTTTCGTTAAAATCGGTCCAGTAGTTTTTGTTTCTATAAGGAACATACAGACAGACAGACAGACAGACAGACAGACAGACAGACAGACAGACAGACAGACAGACAGACAGACAGACAGACAGATAGACAAAAATTTTATTGATTGCATTTTTGGCATCAGTATCGATCACTAATCACCCCCTGATAGTTATTTTGAAAATATATTTCATGTACAGAATTGACCTCTCTACAGATTTATTATAAGTATAGCTCTACGAATGTCTTTTAGTTCGTCTGGTCTGGTCATTGGCAGCTTTTCGTTAGGGTCATGTGCAAGGGAAGGCAAAAGTCCTATATTCTAGAGTTACATAATTATTGGGGCTTGAACACGCCAAAATAAAAGTAAAACAGGCATCTTGTTGGGATAGAATTAAATATAAAGAACTGCTTGTTAGTGTTGTTAAAAACTCAATAATTGTTTTATCGGTTATTTTTTGCTGCATTGGTAATTGTCAAGTTTTTCATGAAAACTATCTGGATGTAGAAATTGTTGTTTTAAAGTGACATTGTATGTGTTAATCTTTATAACGATAAGTCTTTATTACAATTATCGCCTGGTTAAAATCTAAAGTATTTGGTAGATTTTTTAAACGTAAAATCAAATCTTTACTACAAACTTTGGTAAATTCCATACTTTGGTTTTCAGAGCCATCGGTGATAATTAACAAGCCGAACCACGAGAACATTAACGCTGGTCTAGCGGTGCTGGTGGACGGTTATCAGGCTGGGTTGACCATTATATCATTTGCTGCCGGTATATCCAGTGCCAAGACTTTTCCACACCTAAATCCGTTCTCCGCATATTTCTACACGAATACTTACAGATGGGCATTGCGATATTTCAGCCTGTAAGTATTTTCTACATAAATTGTTTTCTGTTTAATTTACGTGTAGGTACAGATCAGACCTACGTATAAACCTCGTACGAAAAATCGTAGAACATAACATGGGGGTGAAATCGATAGGTCTGGTCCTCCCTATCACCTACCTTCGACCTGACACTTTACAGGAAACACCCTGTATACTATTTATGATTTGTAAGTTAAGCTGTCGTAGAAACCATGTCAGTTTTGAGGAATCATTTGTTTTAATTATTGTAAATGATTGTACTTAGTATGAGAAATTGGTAGTGGTGCGGAATAGAGCGATCTTTCAGTGATTGTGGGAATCTTTTTCGGCCGTCGTGGCAAATTCTCCACCACAACTGTTCTGGTCTGTACCGAGTCGATAGCACACTGATTTTAATATCCCTGAAATTCTGAATGTAACATAATCATTTCCGTACAATTAAAGAAACTTACCAGCTTCTCAACTTGCATAAATTTAAACTCCCCGCTGAGAAAAATCATTATTTCACTTGATATCTAGGATCCATATACAAACTTGCCAAGGACGTGTAAAAATTACAAGGAATTCTTTTAAAATAAAATTACGATTCGCGTGTTTCGCGACAACATAAATGGATAAAATGTTTTATAAATTAAATCTAATTTTTAGCTGTATGATGGTTCGATTTTTGTTTTTTAATTGTGTAGAAAAAAGTATTGAAACCTCTTTACTAACACTGGGATTATGTGTTTCAACAGTATACCGTTTTGGCTCGGAGGCCACGGAGGGAATTATTGCGATACCCACAAAACCTGGCGACGACGTTTTTACTACATGGATGAGTTTCTTCCAAAATGGATGAGGAATCTATTCCCATATGTAGATAAAGCTGAGTGGGACCACGAGGAATGGGAATGGAGAAGATTTAAGAAGTATGCAGAACCTGCCTTTGGTAAACATTATCGGTATCCATCGAAAAGATTCCGCAATTTCAAGAGCGCAGAGACTAAAGAGACCATTGAAAATATGGATCAGTCTGGAAATTCTATTTTAGGATAACTACATCTGAGTAAGGAAGTTAAACGTTGTAATTAAATAATATCATAAAAGCATTGACTAAGTACACAGCCATTCTAACCCAATGTTTATATGTTTGTACAGTCTAAACATACGCAAAAAGCTTTAATTATGTACAATACCACATTTTACACTTTGTCAAAGAATGTCCATTTCATAAACATTATTTAAGTATTTGAATGTGCGACCACTCTGTATTAATCGAAAAAATTCGGGTTTATAATATTTTATATAATTTAAGCAATTCTATAAAAAATGCAATCGTTAAAGGAAATGGAAGAGAAGTTTCAAATGGTGCAGAAACACGTATCGACTACACGCCTCAATAAATAAGCATTCTGCCTTTGTAGCAAATTTTAAAGTTGATAAAGTGTTATGAACGATAATTTTCTCGTTTCACTGATCCCGAAACCTATGTGTTCACACGAACAATGCACGCCATGCATTCGCTGCAGTAGTCCCTATATGTACCACGGTAATATTATCTAAGAGCTCTTAGGGTTCTTACACACGAACAGCATTTTGCTGTCGACGCATGTAAGGGTTCTTACACACGAACAGCATTTTGCTGTCGACGCATGTAACTGCAGTCGACGTCAGAAGGCGACGGCTAGCTGTCGACATGCTGCCGACGTGCTGTCGACGCGTTCGCGGCTGCCGCCGGCAGGTGGCGACAGCTAGCCGCCTCCGCCATTTTGAAGGTCAACTGTCAGTAGTCCAGGAGCTTACACGCACACCTAATGAGTTCCGAACAAATTGATTCGGAATTGCTAAAAAATTAGTGCTGTCAAAAACAATGAAATAATATGGAACTCGAATTTAGAAGGCTACCATAATAAAACATTAAAAAATAGAGCATGGGCGTCGGTGTGTGTAGTCTCGTTCTCTATTCAATAACATTTCTTAAACCCACAATGACCGGTTCTTTCTCTTTCGTCGACGACGACGGAGTAAATGCAACAACAGTGTTTCTTCAATGAAATCCATTTTCAACTGGCTGGCTCCTGTACAAAGACGTACGCCGACACGGTCGTCGCAGCAAGCTGTCGACTCGTCGACGGCAGACGTCGACGTGTCGACAGCTTGCTGCGGGCACGTCGACGGCTAGCTGCCGACAAGTGACGGCGACTGCGGTCGCCTTTGCTGTCGTCAATGTGCTGCTCGTGTGTAAGAGCTCTTACGTCGACGTCTGCCGTCGACGAGTCGACAGCTTGCTGCGACGACCGTGTCGGCGTACGTCTTTGTACAGGAGCCAGCCAGTTGAAAATGGATTTCATTGAAGAAACACTGTTGTTGCATTTACTCCGTCGTCGTCGACGAAAGAGAAAGAACCGGTCATTGTGGGTTTAAGAAATGTTATTGAATAGAGAACGAGACTTATCGACGCCCATGCTCTATTTTTTAATGTTTTATTATGGTAGCCTTCTAAATTCGAGTTCCATATTATTTCATTGTTTTTGACAGCACTAATTTTTTAGCAATTCCGAATCAATTTGTTCGGAACTCATTAGGTGTGCGTGTAAGCTCCTGGACTACTGACAGTTGACCTTCAAAATGGCGGAGGCGGCTAGCTGCCGGGCAGCCGCGAACGCGTCGACAGCACGTCGGCAGCATGTCGACAGCTAGCCGTCGCCTTCTGACGTCAACTGCAGTTACATGCGTCGACAGCAAAATGCTGTTCGTGTGTAAGAACCCTAAACTGTACCACGTGAAAAAATTGAAGATGAATCTACAAAAAAAGTGATTTTTCATCATTCGAATTACTGTCTCACCCGGCTTATTTATAGTCCGATTTTTAATTCGACGGAATTCTGACAGCTCTAAGTTTTTGACAATGCAGATTTAAGAAACCTTTTTTGCTTTGAACTATAAATAAAAAATATGAAATGAAATTACATCAAGTACAACTTACAAGAATGAATTATTGTTTTTCTTTGTGCATTCAATGTACGTTAATTATAATG